ACGTATAAAATGACTAAAAGTGGTACCAATATGATAATGCATTGATCATGTGAAGCACAGAAGTTGGGAGATAATGTCACTAATCAAAAGGATTTCTAGGGTTGAAAGTCATTGCATATAAATGACCTTTGCGATCACCTTATAAGCAACTGTGTCCTCTTTACGGATGACGTAAAACTATTCAACACCATCGACAATGCTACTGTCCTTCAAAGCAACCTTGATTATGTGTCTGAATGGTCAAGCAATTGGCAACTCCAAATCTCAACCAACAAATGTTCTGTCCTACACACTGGTTAAAAATATCAGTACACCAAATACAGACTAGGCAGATATGAACTCATTGATGATCCTCACTCTTGTCAAGGACCTTGGAGTTCTCATATCAAATGATCTAAGCACCAGAGCTCACTGTAACAGCTTTGCCAAAAAGGTATTAAGAGTTGTAAATCTAATCTTACAAAGCTTCTCCTCCAGAAATATTGAATTGCTAACTAGAGATACAAAACTTTTGCCAGACCAATACTCGAATAAAGCTTATCAGTCTAGAATCCGCACTGCATATCAGACATTAATACAGTCAAGCGAGTCCAGAAGTATTTCATAAAAAGAGTACTACACTCCTCTGCTCGCAACAGAATACGCTATATCACCAAGTTTGAAATTTTGGGCTTGGACAACCTTGAACTACACTGCCTATGGTTAGACTAAGCGTAGCACACAAAATTATCTGCTACAATGTCCTACCAGTCAATGACTACTTCAGCTTCAACCACAACAATACAAGAGCGCACAACAGATACAAACTCAATGTAAACCACTTCAAACACAATTGCAGAAAGTACAACTTCAGCAACAGAGTGGTCAATGTCTGGAATGCACTACCTGACTCTGTTGTTACATCCTCTAACCCCCACTCCTTTAACCTCAAACTATCCACTATTGACCTCACCCCATTCCTAAGAGGTCTATAAGGGGAGTGCATAAGTGTACCATCATGCCTATTGTCCCTGTCCTATGGTCCCCATTTATTCGTACCTATTTCCTGTATTCTTACTCTTGTTTATACTTTCACCTATTATCTTGTAAGCAATTGACAAATCAAATCAAATCAAATAAATAAATAATATTTAATAGGATTGTGTATCATTCATCTCAATGATACAAGACTGACTCCGCCTTTTATCCTTCTGAGGTTGGCAATTGTTGGGGGCAATATGCTGACTCTGTAAAGGGCTGCTTAAAGGGCTGCTTAGAGGGCTGTAAAGCACTATGAAGTGGTATATGAGTTTAATTGCTTTACTGCTTTGGATAGGAAGGTAGTGCAGAGAGTGGTGAGGATGGCATAGAAGATTATTGGCAGTTTACTTCCATCTATCTAGGACACAGGATATAAGTGATGCTTTACCAGGGTCCATAGGATTGTCTGGGATGCTGTACATCCTCTTCGTGACCTGTTTTTCTTGTTACCTTCTGGAAGGAGGCTTCATGGTATCTGGTATCCAGATTCAGTCACAGTTTTGTTCCATATAGTATCAACCTTGTGAATTCTCAATTTTCCTCTTTCCAAGATGTATTCAAGATGGACAGTGATTAATATTTATATGTATTTATATGTATTGGGGGTGTTTGTGTATGTGCATGTATGTATGTATATATGTATATGTGTGTGTGTGTGTGTGTGTGTGTGTGTGTGTGTGTGTATGTGTATAGAGAGAGAGCATGTGTATATGTGTGTTATGTATGTGTATACTTTTGAGAGCAGGCAACCAAATTTCATTTTTAATGTGTGCCAGTGTGCCCACAGTAAAAAATGACAATAAAGGTTATCTATCTATCTATCTATCTATCTATCTATCTATCTATCTATCTATCTA